TGATACCCTCTTGAGAACTTCCTGTTCTCGTTAGAACATTATTCTGACTGTTGGTGATGCATTGTACAACAGCACGATTAGCTTCATGGCCTGTGTCTATGCTGCTGCTTCTTTTCATGGTTGAGCCACAACCATCAGAAGAACTTGAAGAACTATTCTGCTCTTTTCTCCGGAAACCTTCTCTCAAACGGATCACTGTACTTTGTAAGGCATCTCTCCTTGCAGCCGATGGATCTGTCACTGATAAATGTCGGGAAACAGCAGCACCTGATAGAACTGACGCTACAAAAATGTAACTAATGCAATGCCCCAGGTACCTGAAACGACAGAAAAGGAATAATAACTACCCATGCTGCAAAGGCAACAAACTGTGATCGATAAATTACTAAAAAGAGCTTCTAGTCCAGAACAAACCAGTAATGTATGCCAAAGCATATTAGGAAAAGACGAGATGTTCCTGCCACAAATAGAGCCAGAACCCGACTCTGAAGAAGCTTAAACCCATACAAGCATGCCCCAACATTCCAATCTACATGACAAAAGTATGCATCAAAATGAGATTTGAGAGAGAATCCCAACACATGCTTCTGCTACAAACATATTCAAACACCTCATTTTACCAAGAACGATAACTGCCACTGAAGTAATGCCTCCAAGCCAACGGGCCTCCCTAGCTGTGAGACCGTATAGCACTGAGTAGGCAACAAGTACAACAAGTGAGCCAAGGTACAGGATCCCGAGATGTGAAGCCCTGCAAAAGATCATGACAACTATAATATTATTTTAAAAACAGGTGGACAAGACAATGAATTGCAGTGATTAAAATTAGCATATATGATTATCAAAAAGGCCTGAAAACTTTTCAGAGCTTAACACTGAATATAATACACCAACTGCGCTATCTCTGTCAACAGAAGAGTAGAAGATATCCTGGGGATAGATACCACAAGCACGGATAACAGTAAATTGGAGTTTTACTTTATGTTATCTTTAAGCTACTATTACAAAGGTAACTAAAACCACATCCTGTGAATCTTTAGAGTCTATTCTCAACATTCTAGGCGTGGTGGCTTGCACTAATCCAGAATTATCAATAAATAGGACAATAAAACAACAGTACACTAGTGAAACAGTGACAACCACCCCCTCCCTTTCTTTCCAAGCAAAAATCCAAGACCATATCAATAAGACCTTAGGACATAGACTAAGCAAAGTCATTGAATTCCCAGGAAAGAGCGAATCAAACTTGCCTGCTGGTTTGAAGCGGATATAACTCATTCGGATCAGGCGGCTCCGGTAAACAAGCCACAGGACCTACCTCAATACAATCTGAATAGGCAAATTTGTAAGCTCTCCTCACATATTCATCCACATCTAACCCATTCCCTACGGCCATAGAAAAGTCAACCAATACAAACAACTTAGATATGACAAGAAATTTGAGACCAAGAGACACCTTTTCACTCTCCATATGTGTCATAGTGAAGTATCAGTGGATGAAAACAAACGAGCTGGCCAATACGGCAATACCACAACTGCATGTAATAATGAATGAGAATGCCAACCATACAAAGATTGAGAAAGCTTTACCATTAAAGACCATCCGGCATATGAAAAGCATATTGATTGCCAAGGCAATTGCAGATACACCAAAGAAGAGACCAGAAGGAGAATATTGCACAGATGCATGTGCTCCAACCGTCACATAGACAGCACAAAGCTCATATGCACAAAGTAAGGCAACACCAAGAAGGAGAAGTAAAGCGACAGCTCCTGTTAAACCAGATGACAATGTAAGAAACAAGCTATAAGGGACGTTCAAGACAACTAATAACTAGGGCAACCTATGATGGGCAACCCATAAGGTAGTGTTCATCAACACATACAATCTTACATTCCAAACTTCATTTACCCTCATAATCTGCCATCTTTATTATCACTTGCATCGGCAAATTCCTGGTTCAGTAATATCAACCTTACGACAGCATAACAGCTATGAAGCCAACGAAACAAGCAACCAAAATATCTAGACACCCACTATATCTCCCTAAAACCCTAAAACGTCCTGATAAAACACTTGAAACTATGTATTCTATCACAAAATGTTGCAGTGCTATCCAATGTATCCATATGAAACAAAATCAGAAGGCAACAGTTGTATAAACATACGTGAGCTTTGCCACTGCGTCCTCCACCAAAGGATGATTGAATAGAATGCAAGTAAAAGCGCTGTTCCAGCCATTATTATTGCAAGCCCAATTATATCTCGATCGAGTATCACAATCAGCCAGGAACCCCACCCGATAAGGATCGCGATTGGGGACACCACCACCATCCATGCAAAAAGAGACAGAAACCCACATAATGCACCGAGCTGAGGACCTTGCAACACTTTTGGCCATTTTCTAGCAAATATCCAGCTGCAATATACAATGCATCCCAAAAGCACTGAATTAGCTATGGCTCAATTGGCGTCTATATCAATGTCAACAGAAAATACAACTCTTCTATTTGGAAAAAAAAAAATACATACATAACAGGTAAGTTTGAGAATATAACGGCAGGAGATGGTCAAGCAAAAGGAAATTCACCTATAGAGCCGCCATGGCCGCCAATTAACTGCCCACAATATCCAGAAGGAGCCCGAACCGAAAACCGCGAAAAGGGTACCCGAAATTACACATGACAGTAAGATTCCTCGATCGTCCCCTTCCATGGCTCCTTCTCCCACCTACATCGGCATGCAACTCGGAAATCAAAATTCCCAAAGAATAATAAGCTAAAGCCCCAATCTTGCGCAGAAAACACAAAATGTGTAACTCAAATCAACAAAAGACCACTTGAACGAAACAAAAAATTTCACTACCCAGCAAATGCCGCTGAGGAATGGCGATTCATACGTACTCGGCCAAAATGGGCTCAGCGGGCAGTGGCATGACGGTAAATTTGGAGCAAGCCGGTCATTTCCAACCCAAAATCAAACGTGAGCAAAATGAGTCATTCGGGATGGCGACTAGGGTTTAATCCGCAGACAATTGAGCCGCAATTACAAAAAATAAATAAAGAAAGAGCAAGAAACCAAGTTAGGGTTGCTGTAAGAGCATGAAGAACAGAAATCAAGCTCCTTTAGGTTTTTGTTGCCTTTTCTGTCAGGAATTTTCCCGGAAATCTTTTCTCATCTCGGAGAATTCCTCAGATTAGAGAACGGATGGACAGAGAAGGTAAAGATGAAAAACCCTACCCTTTCCGAGTGTGAAATTGTGAAGTAAAAAAGATCATAGCTTTTTTTTTTTCCAAAGACCCGAGGATTGCAGAGAGAAAAAAGTGTCTGGAAAAAAATTTGAAAAAAAAAAAAGCTAACGTCTCTGCTCCGGAAAACAGTACACCGACTCTCGGATCTATGCGCGTGGCTACACGCGCCAATGTGAATTCAGTAAACAAAGGGTGGGTGATGTTTTCTTGTAGAATGTAGAAAAATATATCTTTATTTCAGATTTAAAATATTCTAGAAAACAAATTTTGGGAATTTTAGAAGAAATAAAATTGAGATTTTATTTTACTAATAAAGGGTTTGTTTAGCTCAATTTTTTGCGGTGGTTTTATGATGGTGTAATTTGTGAATGATATTAATAGTAGTTGCTCTATATTCAATTTTTTCATTAAAAAATGTTTTCTATGTATATTTAAATAATATTAAATATCACTGTATAGGTTACAAAATTGTGGATATCTATCTGTTGTTATTCTAATTTGATATTTTTTTTTATTTTCTGTGAAACTAATAAGAAATACACATGGATGTCTCTGGCTATTGAGGATAATGTAATATCCAATCGAAAATTTGGAAATTTAAAATTGGTTGATTTAGACCGACAGTGGACAACACCAAAACATTTGAATTTTAAGAAGGAAAGTGGTGTCTTTGTCAGATATTTTAAAAAAATCCAACAAAAAAAATATTAAAATTTAAATGTTTTATTATACTAAAACACCAATAAGTCAAAGTTTAGTCTACTAAACACCTTGAAAACAAATTTAATTAAAAAAAACTAAAATAATAAAAGGCCCCATTGTTCATATAATACTAAACTAAATTTCGATTTTGTTGAAGAGAGATGGTTTTGGATAACATGCATATCATGGATAGATTTAAGACATAAAAAAAACTAGAACTTTTATGGATGTAAATATTTATATAATCGTGTTAAATTGGGGCATTATCAAAAATACCATTAATTTGCTATTTCTACTTCAAGACCTACCCTTGTGACCATGTGACCAATGTGACCGAAATATAGTGTGGTCACATATTGATCTCATTGTTCATAACGTTAAATTTATGATGTTTTAATCAAATGATTAGTAAGATATACAAGGTATGAACATAATGAATTAGTGTGATCACCATAAATTTAACGTTATAATCGATAAAAATCAAAATGTGACCATACTATATTTCGGTCACATTGGTCACATGTGAACAGGTTAGGTCTTGAAGTAGAAGTAGCATTTTAAGGGTATTTTTGATATAATGCCTGTTAAATTTTATATGTTTTAAGTGATTATTGATAATATTAAGATTTTTTATGTAGAAAGTCTTTTTTTTTCACGTATCTTAGCAAATAATAAATGATGTTTCCATTAATATAAATATATATATATGCATATATATGGTATATGTATAGTTTGTGTGTTGATTAAAAGAGGGTGGAGAAAAGGTAAAAATGATGGAGTCACATGCAAATGCAATGTGAATCCTCCATGGACAGATTATGTAATGATCAAACAACTTTCCTTTCAACAAATTAATGAATCCCCTCTAGACTCTCTCTCTCTCTCTCCCCCCAAATCAATATGCAATTAGGGCCCTTAATCTAATATCATTATTATTAAATTTTGTTCCATGCTTTAACCAGAAATCTTTTGAAGTGTTATTCAGTTTGTTCATGTCAGATGATTGAGAAGAGTTGCATTCACTCACTTTGTTAAGAGATTATGACTCAAGAGACAGAAATGATCAGAAGAAACATGTTATCACATTACAAAGGGGGCAGTGAAATTTTTTTTCACAAAGGGCCCAAGTTTCTCATGAGTTTTCAAGAAACTTGAAAAGCCACCTCTTCCCCATCTACTTACATGGAGAAACTCCCTTTCTTCCCTTTCTTACACCACAACACCTTAGGACACAAGTGAAAAAGAAAACCAGACAACCTCAAAACTTCAACTTCCCCATTACATAAGAGACATCACCCATGTTACCAAGTGAATTCACAGAGAGAGAGAGAGAGGAGAGAGGGAGGGGGGTTCTGCATGCATGGATTCCTGGTTATGGACAGTTAGGGTTCTTGCCAGGACCTCCATAGTAGAAGTAATGGCCCCAGTCATCGTTGTTACCTGTCTGAACATCGTAACAGTTGGATTGCTCGGTGAATGTACCGAGCCCTTTTGGCGCTTTAAGGTTGTTTGAACTGTCAACTACCTGAATGTTCCGGAAGTAGCTTGATTTGCTGAACCCTTCTTCTGGGAAGTGGCCACTTCCCATCTGTGTTGCAGTGTGGTGGCCATCTGATTCTGAGTTCACTACTTCACCTCCCCACTCAATCATCGATGCACTGTCTGCTAGGTACGAGAAGAGGAACGATGGCCAGTACCCTAAAACGTAGTCATTCCCGAATTGCATCCACCAATGTCCCTCCTTTGGATCCTGCAATAAATTTCACCAAAAAACAGTCCACCCTCAATCAAAACCATAAAGTTTTCACTTTTCTTCATCTTCTTTATCTATATTGTGAAAACCCCCCAAGGTACATGTAGTAGCCCAAAGACTGTATATATACACTATGTGAAACCAGTATTAAAGAACTAAAGTTCAGGTCTACTGGTTCAGATTTCCTTTTCTATGACAATGATTCGCAAGAATGATGCTTCTGGTGCACCCATGGCTTCTCTCTTCTAGTTCCTTGAATATTTGTGACAGTTATGGCTTTTTTTTACCTTCCAAATGAGGATACTGATATCATACTGGGAATTACGATATCCAGAGACAGGGGAGATGCTTGCCCCCATTGCTATTTCGCTGTTGATCTGAATAAAACCCGAGCAAAGAAGATTGTAGCAACCCGTAGCTTGATACGCATCACTCTGCAAAGATAGTTTTCAACAGAACAAATATGAACATCTTAAGCAACACCCGAAGTTCCATGATGCATACAGCAAAATTCATTTTCTATACACAAGTTCCAGACTCTTACCGTCCAGTAAGTGAAGAGCCTGGTATTATTATCGCCATATAGATCCGGGCTCACCTGTTGTATATAAGAGTAAAACACGAAAATGTAAAAAGATAGCACGTAATTACTCTACTTATATTCTCGAAAAGACTACAAAAACCCGATTACAAGTCCACACCTGCCAACCAGCTTCAATACTGTTAAGATCTTCACCAAATGATCCACCCAGAATCCAAATCTGTGACAAGCTGAACTCGTTCTGCCTCTGAATCCTCGGCTCCCACACATTAATAGTCGCCTTGGCTCCAAAATATTTACCTCCTTCCACATAAGCTATGGCATGCTAATCCCATAAAAGAAATCAAGGAAGAATTACATACACATTTCAGACCAAGAAAGCAGTAAAACTGTGAAAAAAAGCCTCGAAACTAGGCAGCCATTTTATTCACCTGATGACCATTTTGGTTGATGAGGTCGGGATCTGCAGACCTAGGCACGGGAACCGTTCTGTGCTTCTTCTTACCGTATCTCTTAACCGAACTAGCTCTCAAGACATCATCTTCCTTTGTCCTCCTAACCGGAATGGTTCCTTCCGGGCATTTACCGTACTGATGCCACAACTGTCGGACAGGGTTTGTTCTCTCTTTCTGTTTTGCAGACACCTTGTTCTCGTCAAAGAGCCCTTCAGGGGGATAACTAGGCCTCATCTGAAGGAAAAGAAAACACCCATTAACTAAACATGAGCATTAGAAGACAAGCAATGGAAGAAAGTTTCAAGTCAATATCAGTTTCTTTGTGGACCTGAATCTTGTGGTCTCTGAGGAAAGGATGATCAAAAGCCGGCTGCTTTGACATATGAACACAGTCTATTATGTCACCATCTGGGCTCTGTTCAAACACACAGAAGGAATCTCTTTTTTCAGAAATCACCAGACTTCTCCCACATTTTGAGAAAACCAGAGGCTTTCAAGCTTCAACTAGGGTTTAAACCAAGTGATTTGAAGTCTCTCAGAATCGAATTCCAGAGAAAAACCACTGGCTTCTACAAGTTCACAGATTCAGGCAAGAATTCTGAACTAGAAATTACCGTGTCACAGACATCGAAACACAGTAAAGTACGCAAGAAATGAGAAGACCTTTCATTATTACGGTAACTTTACCAAATCCTGGAATATGATTCACCAATTGTTTCAATTAGTGCAAAAGAAAAACAAATCATCATGTGGCAGGAGAGAAAAAGCAGGAATAATCAGACTATGATTATTTACAGATTTTCCTTCATTTTCCCATCAAACTAAAAGGGGGGGGGGGGAATGATGAAAAGGAAAAACCAGGAACACTGAGTCTCTAGAATTACAGAGGAGAGGAGAGATTCTGAACCTGAATGCTCTTAACAGCAGGTTTGTTCAACCTGTTCAAATGCTTCTGCACCTCAAGCCTCTGCCTTGAAGCACTGAACCTCGCGGCGTAAGATAGCGAAATCAGCCCACCGAGCCAATAACACACTAAAATACTTGCGGCTAACCTCCCCGTGCTACAATGCACCGCGCTCGTCATCTTCCTTACCCAGAAAAACACAAAAAAAAAAAGCCTCACTCTCCCTAATGTTAACAACACACTGAGGCCAAGGAGAGCCTAAGAACAAAGGAAACAAGAGAGAGAAATCAGAAAATAAAAAAATACCCTAAAGAGAAGAAGAAGCTCCAACAACACAATGATAATGCTGTTCGTCTGAACAAGCTTGGAGGTGGGTCTGATTTCGTTTGCGCAAAATTCCAACCACGCAGATCAAAATGCAAACTTTCCCAGCCCTCTCTCTCTCTCTCCCGAAAAGAAAAGCTTCCACTTTCTCTCTCTTATCACCTCCCCTCCCCCACCTTTTTTTCCCAATTAATTAATTAATTAATTAAATCCCATTAAGAAAAAAACGTACTGCTGTTTCCATCTTTTTCCCCACTCCCTTTTTTCTTCGCAGCACTCTCTCACGGGAGAGAAAAAAAGTTCACTCCTTTGTGATGAACTCCTATTTTTTTTCCCTCAATATCTCTCTATATAGTAATTTAAATAATAATTCGATAAAAAAACATGAATTGAATGGAGTTTTCACTGCAAAAATTTTAAATCCACGAAATAATCGTTCAAGGTTTGGGAAAAATGACAACTTTTTTATAAAAAAAAACTGTTACTAGTTGTTTTTAAATTAAAACCCTACCTTCCTGCCCATAATGTCAAATTTAAATAACAATACGGCAATGATTCCTAAAAATGTGCTACCTTTTGTATGTACATTGATATCCACGTGAGCTTGTGTTTGTGTTCTTGGGTTTCCCCAATTGCCCATACATATTCCTAATATTTTCATTCTGCCCCTTTGGCAAATTGATGTTATTGTTTGATTCTAAATTCAGAATGTATGTATGTATGTATGTATGTATGTATGTATGTATGTATGTATGTATGTATGTATGTATGTATGTATGTATGTATGTATGTATGTATGTATGTATGTATGTATGTATGTATGTATGTATGTATGTATGTATGTATGTATGTATGTATGTATGTATGTATGTATGTATGTATGTATGTATGTATGTATGTATGTATGTATGTATGTATGTATGTATGTATGTATGTATGTATGTATGTATGTATGTATGTATGTATGTATGTATGTATGTATGCATATTCAACCAATAATATGCTCAATATTATCATGTCATAATACAACCAGTAGCCATTCCCGATTCAAATTGTTCTTCATATAAAAAAAAAAGTAAGGGGATCCAAAGAGGAAGTCCAAGAAATTAGTTTTAATCATATTATTAATATTATTATAGACGGCAAAAGATAAAATGGGCAGAAGATTCAGAGCAAATTCAGTGTTTCATCCGCGTTTGTAACCTATTTTATCATTATAATAATTATAAAATAAATTTCAATGTTATTACAAGACAAAGATTCTTATGATCTGATCATGGTCGTCGCATGCATCATGCATGCATGTTGCTCGCTATTTTTTTTATTGATTTTGTTGTTACACCGATGAATATTATGATTATAATAACGATATAATCGTCCCCCTTTCAAATATTTTCGTCAACGGTTGATATATGAATAAATTTATGGAACTCGCGACACGATTTTCCACATAATGAGAACAAAAGATTACTGCCACGCCCACGATTTTGTAATTTGAGACAAAATCTTGCATTTCCCCCATATCGTATACACCATAACGTGGAAGACTGGTCGTTGGGGAGAATATCCATAACCAAACCGAATAAACAATTAAAATATTTGTTTATTTTTATTAAATATTTAAAAATATTATTAAATTTGAAACATAGATCATATATTCGTCCAAATTTTAAAACTATTGCAAATACAAAGTGATTGTAAACACGTACCATGTCATCCAGATTCTCTGGCATTGATTCTAATTAATGGAACAGAATTAACGATGTTCTTTTGTTGTTATCATCATGTTCTCCCGCATTTGGAAATGTGTCATGGAGTATATATTAATATACTTCCATATATATATATATACATACACATGCAAAGGTACATATGAAGAATGAGTGAAAAAAAATCTCAACCATATGTTTCATGGAAAAAATAAAACAAAATTACAAAATGTTGGAGGGTGGTATAGTAATTTCGTGAAAAATGTACATACAGCTCCGTGTACCATTCCGTCTTTAACCGAGACGAAAAAGCGTAGAAACCAAAGTTCGCCGTTACTTAAAACTCAAGAGACGACGTTATAACGTCCGTCAGCGCGAGACACGCTTAGTGACGTACAAGGATCAGATGTCACACGTGCGGTATATCTCATCAAAGACCGTACACGTGTTTTCGCCCGTGACAAAGCACAAATCACGGGGAGGGGTAGAATTGGAAAAACTAAAAATAGACCGACGGTCCAAAATATTGGAATCTGAGATTATTAGGTTCTTGAAATTAAAATGAAAATGGGAACAAAAATATTATCGTAAGCTGTGCATGTCGTCTGTTTTCATCACTGGCACATGGACTCATGACTCTGAGGATGAATGTGGGGACTGATTAGTCTTTTCATCCATTCGTCGCATAACACAATGATCAAAGAGGAAATTCGCACTGGTATCCAAAAATATCACGTCATTATAAATCTATATTTTTTTTTTACTTCCTTTGCAAACTATATCTTTTTATAATTTTTTGATAAAAATATTCTTACTTTATTGTATAATTTCAATATTATCATTAAACATTTCAAAAAAATTTACAGCATAAAAAATATATTTTATTGAGAAACTGTGTTATCTCGGAAAACTGTTTTTTCATCCGGGATAATTATTTTTCATATATAAAAATCTGTTTTTATTTAGTTTAACTGTTTTTTTATACGAAAAAATAATTTTTTTTATCAAGAAGAACTGTTTCTCGTCCGAAAGAATTGTTTTTTCATTCAGGAAAGACTTTTTTTTATCCGAAAGAACTGTTTTTTATCTGAAAAAGTCTATTTTCGTACGGAAAAATAATTTTTTTTGAGAGAATTATTTTCATCGGGGAAAAAATATTTTTTATATGAAAAACAGTTTTTTTTATACGTGAGAACTATTTTTCATCCGGACAAAAACGTACACTCTCGAACGAAAAACAACTCTCTCAGAAAAAAATAGTTCTTCCGGACAAAAAAACAAACTTTTCCGAACGAGAAACATATTTTTCGGACAAAAAACAGTTCTCCCGGATAAAAAAAAAGATTCTCTCGGACAAAAACAAACTCTTCCGAACAAAAACAATTCTCGTGGACAAAAAAAAATTCTCCCAGACAAAAAACAAACTCTTCCGGACGAAAAACAGTTCTCCCGGACAAAAAACAGACTCTTCCGGACGAAAAACAGTTCTCTCGGACAAAATACAGACTCTCTCGGACGGAAAACAGTTCTTTTCCGGATAAAAAAACAAATTTTTCCGAACGAAAAACAGATTTTCCGGACAAAAAACAGTACTCCCGAATAAAAAAAAGATTCTCCCGGACAAAAACAAACTCTCTCGAACAAAAACAGTTCTCCTGGACAAAAAAAAATTCTACCGGACAAAAAACATACTCTTTCGGACGAAAAACAATTCTTCCGGATAAAAAACAGACTCTCCCGGACGAAAAACAGTTCTCTCGTACAAAAAATACTCTCCCGGATGGAAAACAGATCTCCCGGACAAAAAACAATTCTCCCGGATAAAAACAGACTCTCCTGGATGAAAAACAACTCTTTCCGATTACACAGTTTCCAAAAAAATCTGCTTTTTATACTGCACATTTTTCGGGACGCTAAATGACAATATTGAAATTATACAATAAAGTAAGGGTAATTTTGTCAAAAAATTATAAAAAGGTATAGTTTTAAAAGGATAGAAAAAAAAAGGGTATAGATTTCTAAACATATCACCTTTTTGTCACACTTAGCCAAGAATCCCATGATCAAATCTCGCACATAATAATTGGAAATCTGTAAGAATATATATATATGTATATATATATATATATATATGCATATACATAGAATTTCTTCATATTCTTATATAAAACGACATTTTGACACTCTACGTTACATTCATTTTCGAATATTTATCCGTATAACATAAAATATAGGCAATCCATATTTACCTTCTTCATAAAAAAAAGTCCATATTTACATACTATATATATATATATTATGATTTTGAGGCTTCTCACAAGTGATGTATCATGAGTCTCCATGATATATATCTCCAAAACTATGTAAATATTGGTTAAATAAGCAGGGAAATCATATATAATATATATATATATACAAATCATGATAATTTAATCTAATTTAGATAGTTCAATCGGTGAAACGAAAATGTTGGTTTCGTTATGTGTTCGAGTCGAAAGAAACGTAAATTCTAATCACATGATTTACTCTCGAGATCGATAACTTTTATTACAATCCGTGCACGTTTTCAATCAAGATTTTGGTAATAGATAACGACAATTAAATCAAATATAAATATCTTGATTAGTCCCTATAAAACTTTGGCTAATTTTGTCGGTGATTGATCTGTAACGATTCGCCATCTCCAAAGGCTCGGACCGCACCAATAAATTTAAATAATCGGTCGCATCCGGACAAAGATCCATTAGGCGGCCACCCAATACATTATACATATATATATTTTAATATAATTGCAACTTTTGAATGCAGCTTCTTCTGAGTTCTGACCACTCGGTGCTTGAGGCCAAAAACTCTATAGTGGCATGTCATTGATAAGCAATGCGATGTCTCCATATGCATAGATCTATACGTACATATATATATACACACACACGTGTTTACCGATGTGAATCATGATACATAACACATCTCATGGTATATACCATGTATTGTATCATGGTATCTGGCATATCATCGACAAGCAATGCGATGTCGCCATATCACACGCACGAATATACATACATCTATACTTACGCACACACACACATATATACACATACATCTCTTCATAGATCCAATTATTAGTCGTCTTGTTTGAATAGACCACGAAAATAAATTGTCTCATACAATTTTATTTAAATGTTTTCACACTACATTGTAACTCGTCTTTTTCATGCCCTAACAGTACATTGATCAGTTTCTCAAATCTTGGCCTTTCTCTCTCCGAAGACCAACATTTTTTTTTAATTCAAACGTAGTGAACAGTAAACCGGGTCTCAGTTTCAACGAGCCAACTTCGGTGCTAGACCTCCGTGGAAGCCCCAACCCCACCGCCGTCGCGGATAAGCCTTCAGTTGCCGTTGCGGAGGATGTATCCGGTGGAGGAGGGACCACCGGTTTCACCACTGTCGCCATTCCGACACATTACAACGTCGATTCTCAGCTTCCTGATTTTCCCGACCAGCTCCATCCGGCGGATTTCGGGTCGTCTGAGGTTTACTTGATTTTCCCGGCGGATTCGATGGTCAATACGCGTCGCTTATGAGAGAGATCGCTGAGAAATCATCCGTTAGCTGTGGATTTCTGAGAGTCACGTCAGTGGATCTGAAAATCCGTTAGTGGGGAATATCTCTCTGTTCGCGGTGGATCTGAAAATCCGGTTTCAGATCGAGTTCGTCCTCCACCGGACACCTCCTCCGCAACGGAAATTGAAGGCTTATCCACGATGACGGTGGGACGGGGGGTTCCACGGAGGTCGAGGACCGAGGTTGGCTCGTTGAAACCAAGACCTGATTTACTGTTTACTATGTTTGATTAAAGTCGGTTTCTCGAAGAACTAAAAATTGCATACGTGTCAGTAATTTTCTGGATTGGTTCGCCATGTTACGCGTCACGTCGGATTGGTCAACTCGTTTTTTTGATCAAATAACGTTATGGACAATTATAGAACTGTTTAACAAGTTCAAGATTTAACGTGTTCAATTTTACAATTTTGGAGTTTAGGAATTAATATTACTCCAAATTACAAGTTGAAGAATTTTTAGAGTTTTTTTCCTTAAATAAATAATATCCATGATCCAAAAAGAATAGCATAAAAGATTATGAGCATCGGTATACATATAGTTTTATCTTCTAAAATATTTTCACGCAACTGCACATTCTTAAAATGATACAAACAAAATAAAGGATGGTAAATACAAATCAAATTAATTGGTTTTAATTCAATGTGCATGGCGTCATCATTATGTATACACATACACATATACATATATATACAAGTGCATATATGTATATATGGCGAAAGACTTTTTGATGCATTGTGAAAGACTTTTTGTTTTTGTTTTATTAATTAAAGAATGAATCTATATACACATTATGGTTTTATTAATGAAATCCAGAACAAAATAAGAAATCTAAACTAGATATATATATATATATACTCCAAGTTTTTTTAGAGAGGATAAATCCAAGATGGCATCATCATTATGTATACACATACACATATACATATATATACAAGTGCATATATGTATATATGGCGAAAGACTTTTTGATGCATTGTGAAAAAACCTTTTCGCCATTTTTTTTTAATTATTGGTTGAACGGAATCAAAGGGCATCAATCACGTAAGGTGAGCTTGAATCCAATTTTGACTTCTCACTAAAATGTCATATACATGTCGATTTTTTTTCTTTTTTAAAAAAAAAATAAAAAAATGTTCACCATCACTTTCACATACTAACTCATCCACAAGCAAACCAAGAACACATCCTCAAAAGAAAACGAATACTATCTCTTTGTTCGGAAGAGAATGCGAATCGGATATTCGAGTTTTCGAAAACATATGATATCGATTTCGACGTTTTCGGTATATGATATTGACCTCGATATAATCGAATACTCGATTCTTTAAGTCTGGTATCTGTGGATATCCGAACCCAATGTAAACACATGTTCCCATTCTCGGTAGAGTGTCCAGGTGAGAAAGATTTTACGGCCAAAAACAGAGGCGAGGAAGAAAACAACTTTTACTCCTATACCGTGGCTTTGTGCAGCAATGTGAGTGAATTGCTCGGATTCGTGACTTCTCCGGAGTGTAGAAATTTGCGGAATGATATTTTTATTGATAGTCAAAATAACATATAAATATATGAGAATCTTACATTTGAATAAGTAAAGTACACATAATAATAAATATTACTAAATATATATTTTCTAGATTTGATAAGATCTCCATTATACGATATATCTCGTAATATTCTTCAAGATCCGGTATATCTCAACACCCCCCTTCAAGTTGGAGCGTGGAAGATCATGAAACGCCCAACTTGCTGAAAAGATGATCAAACGCATGCCGCTTGAACCACATCACCTTGCGAACTTATGTCAATTATAACTAAAAAAAATCAAACAAACGACTGCGCTGCAACTTTGGCACCACACACAAAAGTTTGATGATAACAAAAAAAGGGACGACAATCGCGGTGCAGAAAGAAGTCTCGGGAATAACTCTGATTCATCTGAGATTGAAAGGCAGCTACGCGAAAGCGTTTAATGACAACAAAGTTTTTGGCAAGAATAAGATGTTTGGCGGTTACGCGAATAATCTTTAGAAACATGTGGGATTATGAGAGAAAATAAAAAAAAATAAAAAAAAATAAAATGACTCTCTTATTCTTAAAAAAAAAACTCGAAATGATATTAACACTGGATTAGTATATTATCATCTTCATCTTCACTCTCATTATCGATCATCATTTTTATAAAAAGAACAACAAATTAGAAAAGAACCAGAAACACTGATACCATGTAGAAATTTGCGGAATGATATTTTTATTGATAGTCAAAATAACATATAAATAGATGAGAGTCTTACATTTGAATAAGTAAAGTACACATAATAATAAATATTCCTAAATATATATTTTTCGGATTTGATAAGATCTCCATTATACGATATATCTCGTAATATTCTTCAAGATCCGGTATATCTCAACACGGAGGACGTTTCCTAGTGATTTTCGATTAGCGTTCTTTGGATTTTCGCAAGACAACGTTCGGCAAGAGCGTAAATCAGAATGACAAGAACGGTTTTTCGCGAGTCGGTAACCGACGGGAGGGTAGATCGGATTTTCGCTCGGGTTTCTTGGACAATAGTGAAGGGGTAATGTTCGAGCGGAGAACAATAGAGTTAAACTTTATATTTAAAGTGTCATTTACGTAAATATGTATAAAACCGAAGGGTGAAACCATCTTTTCCAAAACACAGATATCTGCGGGTATCCGTATGATACCAACAAACCACTCCTACTCAAACCCGAGATTTAGGACCCTTCTATCTAAAAACCCGAGCTCGTCTCTCACGTCTTTCGGATACCCGAATTCGGGTATTTTTGCCCATCCTTACCGCAGTCAAAGCGAAATTTGATCAAGAATCCAAAAACAAGAACATGACAGATTCATTCCAAGCTTGAGGGGGCATTTGTCTGGAAGAAACCAAACTGTTTTGATCTCTTCTGCTCATCAGTCCGGCGACCTCTCTGCATTATTATTATTATTTTTTTTTCAGACAGTTAAAGTCTGTTGATGACAATATCGCTGGTAACTGAAGAGGTTGTACATAAAGATATAAACTCAAACACACTGCTTTTCAGATGATATAAGAAACACATAACCTCCTTGTTCAAGATCAAGCCACATGAACAAATTCAGAGTCAACATGATCTTTTCCTTGCGCAGAGAATTCGCCTGATAACCTTTTATTATAAAATCCAAATCCAAGATTTGTTTCCATAACATGTTAATGTTATCACCATGGCAATCTCGATTCAGTGTCTACAAAGACCAGTTTCACGAATCTTATCAAGAACAGAAAAAGGGTGTCAGCATCAGTGTTCAAGCAAAGATTTTGCAGATCCCACACAGGAAATTGCCATTATTGGATCGTGAGACAACACTCATCAACACCCCGTATCAAACAATCCAATTCAACTGATCGAAGAACAGAATGGCTTCCCTTCCATCAAATAAGCAAACACCACAATAAAAGGTATAAGAACATGAGAAGTAAGGGGGAATGATGAAGGAAAACCTATTGAATCCAATTCGTAAATCTGATTTATTTTTCGGTTCAGGAGTAATTTACAGTGTAAAAGAACGACAAAGTCGGAAACTTTCAGCACCCGGCGACCATCTAATCAACTAACAAAGCAATACCAAAGAATCAAAACACAAGTCAAAGCAGCCATGTGAGGTCGAAAGCTATACAAAGAACATGTCGGGGACGTTAATCAGAGTGCGAGTAATAGTAATAATCATCAAACTCACGGGTAGATGATGAGGACGACCCATCATCAGCATAATCCCCATAATTGTAGTAATTATGACCAAAATCAAGATCATCATCATCATCATCGTAATCGGAGGAGGAGGAAGAAGAAGAGTAGTTGTGGTACGTATAGGAGTAGAAGGAATCAGATGTGGGAAGGCACAGGAAAGTCCACAAGCAGAGAAAGAGACGACCCACTTGATGAAGCGGGAAGCAACAAGCCAGGTCCATAACCTGGCGGCTGTTGATTCTCTCCGACGGCCGAACCCTCCGCATCCGCTGCCACGTGTCGGCTGAGGCATCTGCCACCGCCACCAACGCCGCGCTGCTGAACACCATCACCTCTCTCTCTCCCGAGCGCTTGGATGCGATTGGGCGATGGCGGCTGCTAAAGCGTTTGGTCGTGGATTTGACTTTTGTCTTTCGAAGAACCGTTTCGTGCGTTGCCAGGATTTTGTCTTCTACGCAAGTTGGGATATTTTTCTTTTTGTGCGCTTTTTGGATAAATTTCGTGGGAGACCTTAAGACTAAGCGAGAGATTTTTTTTTTTTTTTTTTCCAATTCCAACCCAAAGTTTCGATTTTGAACAGAACCCAGTTTAGGTTTTAAGATTTCCTGTCTAAATTTAGTAGAAAGCTTCAAGCTTTTTTTTTTTTTTTTTGTTAATCGAAAGCTTCAAGCTTTGACCAAGCCCAAAGTTTAAATCTTATTGTGATTTTAAATTTTAGGGTTCATGCCCAATTTCCGAGCCCAACCCACTTGTCTCCCTCCCTCTTCTTCCTGCTATCCATATAGCAGCAGAAGCGGGGAGAGAGAGAGAGAGAGAGAGAGAGAGAGAGAGACATGGAGGCATTGAAGGTATGGAGTCTAACGGCGATGCCATTGAAGCAATTGCTCCGTTTGTCTTCTGCTTCTTCTTCTTCTATGCATCTCGTAGCTGTAATTGGAGGAAGAAGATCTAACCACTCATCACGTGCCCTCTGCTGCGCCTCTGCTTCTTCTTCTTCTTCTTCGACGGCGGCGACAGCTGAGACTGCCAGACCGGCCGGTCGCAACCGACGGTCCGCTTCGTCTTCGAATTCTACTTCTGATCGTGAAGCCATTCGCTCTATTCGCCTCAAAAAGGTTCCTTTTTTCTTCCCTGTTGCTGAATTGTGTCTGTATCTGTATGAACACATGTCAATGTGTATGTGGGTTTTTTTTTTTGAAATCGCTCATTGGGGTTGGTCTGCTCGCTGTGAGAGTGGAAATTTGCAGTATGGATGTGTAATACCGAATAGTTTCAGTGAGCATATGTTTTGGTAATGGAGATTTCTTTATAGGTTGAGGAATTGAGAGGACAAGGATTTGAACCTTATGCTTACAAGTGGGAAAGAAGTCATAACACATATCAGCTTCAGGAAATATATAAGCATTTAGGGAATGGGGAAGAATCAAACAGTGAGAGTGATCGTGTTTCTATAGCTGGGAGAGTTGTGGCTCGCAGAGCATTTGGGAAACTTGCTTTCATCACAGTGAGGGATGACTCTGGAACAATTCAGGTTTTCTCTTTCACCCAATTTTTGATATATCAGTTTCGAGCTCTTAATCTTATGTTCGGTTTTTCTGTTCATATATCAGTTTCGAGCTGTTAATCTTATGTTCGGTTTCCTGCTCATGATTTTCACAGCTTTACTGTGAGAAGGAAAGGCTTTCAGATGAACAGTTTGAACAGCTTAAGGCATTTGTCGATATCGGCGATATTTTGGGTGTTAGTGGCTCAATCAAGAGAACAGAGAAAGGTAACCTTGAAAACAGACAATCTGGGCAGAGAATGGTTGTTTGATTTTGCATCAATCGATTCCTTTTTCCTAACTTTTGTTTTTATTTGTGTCGTATCCATCCATTCAGGGGAGCTTTCTGTATGTGTGAATTCCTTTTCGATCCTCACAAAGTCTCTCCTTCCGCTGCCAGACAAATATCACGGTCTAACCGATGTGGATAAACGTTACCGCCAAAGGTTAGTGTGTGTTTTGGCATTCCCATGATAATTGCTTGAAGATTATTAAGATTTAGTCGGGGTTTGACTTCATTGTGTTTGATAATACTAGGTACGTTGATATGATTGCAAATCCCGAAGTGGCTGATGTGTTTCGGAAAAGAGCAAAAGTATGTTATCTTATCCTATCTAACATAACTCTGATGTTAACTCCAAAAAACTAACTGTTTGGTTCTGCTCTTAGCTTTTATCTCACTACATGTCTTAGTTTTTTTTCCTCTGCAACATCTGTTCTTTGTGTTTCAGAGGCTAACACTGAATATTCTTTTATTTCGGCTTTAGTAGATTGTTTCAGAGATTCGCAAGACAGTTGAGTCTTTGGGTTTCCTTGAAGTTGAAACTCCTGTTCTACAGGTTTGTGTTCTTCTTTCCAATCCTCTTTTCTTTTGGTTTAATTGCTAATAAAATACTCACTATTGCCATGTTCATAAATCATCACATTTCGGTATGTATGGTTGTAAAAGTTGGATTTTATTTGACTCGTTAAACTAGGGAGCAGCTGGTGGAGCCGAAGCGAGACCTTTCGTAACCTTTCATAATTCACTCGGTAGGGATCTATACCTAAGGATTGCTACCGAGCTTCACTTGAAGAGAATGCTGGTTAGAGATATTTTCTTGACATTGTCCTCTGATGGTTTTATCGTCTAATTCTTCCTTTCGTATAATCTTAGCCAATTTTTCTTTTGTGATCACAGGTAGGAGGGTTTGAGAAAGTATACGAAATGGGTCGGATATTTAGAAACGAAGGCATTTCGACCCGTCATAATCCCGAATTCACGACTATAGAGGTAAAAGTTCATGGTGCTTCCTGCATTTTGGTCTTTGATTCTTGAATGGTTTCCCTGTATGTTAACATTCTCGAGATTTTGTTTTTAGATGTACGAAGCGTATTCAGACTATCAAAGCATGATGGATATGGCCGAGCTAATTGTCACCCAATCTGCTATGGCTGTCCACGGGAAACTCACCATTGATTACCAGGTGCATATTTTATGTTAGAACAAGTGAAACATGATAAACCCTAGCGTGATCTATCGAAACTTTTTCTTCTTCCAAAACTTACGGAGTTTGGGAATCCGTTCCTGAATTCGAGGAGTCCGGGGATCCTTGAACGATATTCGAGTCTCGTTCGATCTCCGTACCTTTATTGAACACACAAGTTCTCCTTTATTTAAAACAATGATGTGAGATTAAGATAGTATGAACCCCTAATTAGGGGTGGCTAACTTGGTGAGAATCACTGAACCAATCTGAATCGAATAATACATAACCATAACCATATCGAATCCATTATGAAAATCGAATGATCGTGATTAATCTAACCGGATAAAAAAACCCGAGAAAACCGAAAGTTTCTTTGAAAATTTAGTATTCTTTTCAATAAAATCAAACCTGAACCGAAATAGAACTGAACTGAACATAATTCAATATAAAAATTGAATGGTTATAGTTTTCCTAAAACCAAAATAACCAAATCCGAACAACTCTTATCCCTAACGGGTCTTACGCCTCCTTACATCATAATTTGTCGTTCAAGTACGAAAACAACCTAATAAAAGAAAACAAGAACAAAAGCTCGAAATAGAAACGACCCAACCGAAGGATCAAAGTCATGATTTGGTTGTGAATCTTTGGTGGAACTTTGAGTTTGTGATGGCTTCATGCAGGGAACGGAGATCTGTCTTGAGCGGCCTTGGAGGAGGGAAACCATGCACAATCTAGTGAAAGAGATGACGGGAATCGATTTCGATGAGATGGGGGATGATCTCGGAAACGCCAAAGATACCGTCGTCATGAAACTCCGGGATGTGATCGAGACCAAGGACATATCCGCAATCGAAGCTTGTCCTTCTCTCGGCCATCTTCTTAACGAGGTGAAGCTTCTGCTTTACTGTGAAGTTCCAGTTCCAGTCTTCTCCTGTCGTGTTCTAAGTTACCAGTTCTGTCTTTTTTCCAGGTTTTTGAAGTGGCTGTAGAGCCGAAGCTGATACAGCCGACATTTGTTCTGGATTACCCTATCGAAATATCTCCTTTGGCCAAGCCTCATCGCAGGTAAAAAAAAAAACTTTTTTTGAGGAAATAGTACTGTTTGTTCGAAGCATAAACGAAAACGGGGTGTTTTGCTTTGATCTCAAAAAAACTTTTTTGTTGCGTGATTCTTGATTCTTTCGCGACAGTCGCAAAGGCTTGACTGAAAGATTCGAGCTCTTCATTTGTGGCCGGGAACTGGCAAATGCATTCTCTGAATTGACTGATCCGATGGACCAGGTAACGAAAATCGACGTAACATGTTAAGATCTTCCAGTTCGGTTTCACATCCTAGTTATGTTTTGTATAATTCCCGAACATGAAAAATATCGCGAATTTTGGTTAGAGAACACGGTTGGAAGAGCAAGTGAGGCAGCATAACGCGAAGAGAGCCGATACAACGAAGAAAGACGACGATGACGACGATTCTTCGTACGAAGTGACCCTCGACGACGATTTCCTCACTGCTCTCGAATATGGAATGCCTCCGGCTTCAGGGATGGTACGATTCCATTTTCCGATGCAAGTAAGGAACTTTTCTTTGATTCGTAGTTTTTTTCCCTCATCGTCTTTTGTTTACCGTTTAGGGGCTCGGAATCGACAGGCTCGTGATGCTCTTGACGAATTCCGCGAGTATCCGAGACGTTATCGCATTTCCGGTTCTCAAAGTTCAACAGTAACAAAGACGATACCGGGAAAAAAACGGCACTGCAGAGTTACCGTTACGACAATATCGTCGGCGATCCATTTGTTGTATCATCATTTTTTGTAATAAGCAAATTAACTTCAGACAACATGTTAAAGACAAATCATTGTAGGGTCTTTTTGGTCAGTGGGAATTATCGTCTGCTTCTTTACCCTTTTTGAAGACCTGTTATCGACCGTCCGATCTCAAACGGGATTCCATCGAGGTCGTTGGTTTTGCGTTGACCGAATGCTGAGTATTCGAATCGGACGGTCGTGATGGATTGATCTCGGAATCAAATGTCGGAAGCATCCAATGTTTGTCATTGACGAAGAGCCCATAAACGCTCACATGCTGTTGTCTGAACCAGTATGCAGATAATAAATTATTATTATAATTTTTTTAATATTAGTACGAGAGAGCTGTTGAAAGATATATTTGTATGGATTATTTGGAGATCCGTCTCAATCCCGTGTCATATTATTTTGTAATATCTAATTATATAGAGAATCTCTATTGAAGATTTAATTTTTCTAATTTAATTAGATAAATAAAATAACAATTCAGTAAACATTAAACAAAAAAAACCTATAAATTTATAAATCTAATTTATCATATTAAATTCTAAACTTTATCCAGATATAATTTTATTCCGATATATTACATTAAAAAAATAAACATATAGTTCAAATGAAATTATTATTGTTAGTAACATTAAATAGTAAGATAGATGATAATTTTTATATGAAAATGATGAAATAAAAATATTAAAATATTAAAACAAATATTTCTTATATTATACAATGAGAATATGATTGATATTTAGAGATAGAATATCGAATATAGAAATAGAACATGATTATTTTTTAGAATCGAGTTAAACAATATTGTGATTATTATTTAGATTTACTTTTAAGTTATATAAAAATTTAAATATTAAAATGATAATAAATATTAATGAATTTAAAATTATTATTATTTAATTATATTTGAAAAAATCTTTAATGATAAATAAATTATAAAAAACAAAATAAATTACTAAAAATATTTTTTATAAAAGGAAAAATCCTTAAACGTGGGCCTCTTTTGAGGTGGGGGCACGGCCCATTAGACGGGTCTGATTATTTGAAACATTAAATTAAATCATATATAAATATTTTTAGTGTGTATTATCCGATACAGGAGCTTATAATTCAGAATATTTTTAGTTTTTTTTTTTTATTGATTATGGTCAGATCCCATGTTGCTTAGAATATTTCAATCTGATATTCAGAAGTGTCCTTTGTTTTTCCTCGTTGATGTGGAATCTTCTTTACTCTTCTCTCGCATAAAAAAACTATGATAAAAAACTCCATATATATATATACGCATTAAATATATAAAAAAATAGTTATATATATGTATAAACTAATCTTTTCACAAATTGTTGATTAATGCAGATTAACAAGATAAAGTTTTCACCAAAGATAAGATCTGGATTTGAAATTATCCGTACCAACTGACATAATAAAAAAGAATTACGCTGAAACAATATGGAAATTATTTACTCGTAAATTATTTTTAAAATACAGAAATCAGTGTATTTGTTTGTGGATAAAGCTGGTATCTAAAATAAACATAATTAGTTTAAAATATTTAGATATTTGGGTAAAAGATGAAAACTTGAAATTCGAATTACACAAGGGATCGTCCACTGTAACTGTGCGAGGGCAGTTTCCATTGAAAATTCTCTTCTGTTTCCTTTGTCCAGTTTATTCTAGTCTGGTTTGTTCTTGTCAATTCTCAGAGATTATTTAGCAACATCATTATCTTTTCTTCTTTTCATTTTCTCCTCAATGGTTACTAAGAAGGGTTCTTGATTCTCTTTCCTTCTCTCTCTGTCTTCCCCAAATCAGGAAAAAGCATCTACCTTTTTAATTTGTTTTCCTCCGTTATCTTCCGTTCACGGCTGATTGTTGTCAAGGGGAATCTGTTCTTTTCCGTTTTGTATTAGCATTGCGTGGGCTCTGTCGTTTTGTCTGCTCCCTCGTCTGATTGGAATTCTGGAGAGAGAGAGAGAGAGAGAGAGAGAGAGAGAGAGAGAGAGAGAGAGGCGTATATACACAAAACCCTTGCTGGGTCTTGTTGGGTTTCTTTTTTAATCTTGAAATCAAACTGTTTATACGGTTCTGTTACTCGAAGATTCCGGCTTTCAATCGATCCGGATCTCATTGATGACCAGCTGTTTCAAAGATCCAACCTTTGTTTTGATGAGGGCTTTGCTGTGTAAGATCCAGTGCCCTTCTTTCTTCTGTTTCTGTAAACCTTCTCCTCACATATGCACGGCAGGTTCGCTGAGGTTGGAGAACACGCCTCACGTGTCTTCCACCGCCTCTGTTTCATCTAATGATGATCTTGACGATGCCCATGATGATGTTGATAATGTGGATGGCCATGGAAACGATGAGGTTAGAGAAGAGAGTAGGGTAGATGGAAAGGAAGAGGAAGGTCGAGGTACCGGGAATTTTCTGAAGAGCAGTCTTAGGAAGGCGGATTCTGGTTCAATAGAAGCTGAGAAAAGGGAGAAGAAGAAGGTGCAGTGGGTGGATTTGATGGGGAAGGAGCTTGCTGAGATCCGAGAATTTGAGCCTAGGTGATGAAGAGTTTATGCTGTTTTTCTTGTTCTTTTCCCTTCAAAGTGTATGTTCTGATTCCGATGCATATAGTATACGGTTGCGAATTGCATTAAAATTTTAACTGGCTCTCAAATCCAGTGACCATTTGGATAATGCTATCCATGTGTCTTGTGTGATTATTTTCACCAACCAAAGGTTAAACAAAAGGAAATTTCTTCTGGTGTCTTTAGTGAAGAATGAACTGAACTGAACTGTCATTTTTTTTTGCATCCAAGCTGCCTGCTTTGTATCTGTTGTGCTGTAATTTGGTCGGAATTCCCATTGAATGATTCTCCGTGTTCTTGCAGTGATGAAGAAGATATCTGCTATGATGGTGGAAAAAGTTGTGTTTGTGTTATCATGTGATCCATCTATTTTAGTTTTAGCTCGGTGGGGAATAGATGGAAGGTGAAAAGTGGACTTGCAGTGACGAAGAAGATATCGGCTACGACTGTTGGGTGTCTTCAATTTGTGGCTCCAGCATTGGAAACATTCTCCACTGAGGTATATATAGAATCTGCATTTGTGTTCTTCAAACCACTTAATGGAAGTTCTTTCCCATTTAGATCCCGAGAAGAAAAACGTTGTGTATTCATCATTATCATCAGCATCAATCTCTAACTCTGCAGCTTCTTCTTTCATGTCAACTCTGAATTCTTGTTTATATCGGTAATCCATAGAATAACTCAACAGCCCTTTGCCTTTGATTCAACCTCCGAGTTTATAGAGTATATCAGTTAATTCCGAAATTTGAAGTCAGCATATCACATAGAACAAAATTATAATGTTCTATATGAACTATATCCCTATACTCTTTCATTTGATTTACCTGAGTCTATAGAGTATATCAGCTAAATGAAACAATTTCTACATAATTGCTCATTTGATTTACCATGATAGTATATAGTAACTATATCCCTATACTCTTTCATGCTCATTCTTGTCAGGGCTCATCAACAGAACAGTTCTTGCAAACCATGTGTCCTCACTTTCTTCTGGACATTTTGCCTGAATCTGTAAGCCACACATGACACATCCCTCTGTTGTTGGCATAATGGCTCGGATCATTCATCATGCTCATCTGGGGACCTTGAAAATGATTGCGTGGAAAACATGCTGTATGAAAGGTCCATACTTTACGGGTTCTCGAGATCTCCAAGGTTTTGTTGATGGGTATGCTTCCAGTTCGGTTGTTGTATGATCCTTTTAGTTTTCCATCTGAAGCGTAATTTTTTGACATATAGCAGAGAGTATTATCTGGCTAGGGAGGCACTATCATCTCGAGGTGAACCAGCTTGGTGAGCCTTTCCTGGAAACTTTGCTACTTGTGTAGTTAAATGACAGATCAAGCAGTATCAACTGAAGCTGGAATCTCTCCCATTGGCAACAATGATGTGTTGTAATTCCAAGTTTCCAGGCCTAACAGCCAGTTTCACAAGGGCATGCTTCAAAAGAAGCAGCAACAGCAGCAGCAATTGTTTACGGCCAACAAGGGACATGAACTCGAGAAGGGAATGCTTGTGATCCACTGAGCAAGTCAAGAAATCAAGAAAAGGGTAAGCAAAAAGCTCAAGAGACTAAGAAGGTGGTGGTGATGATGGTGAAAGCTTAAGTTGTTTGATCTCATTCTTGTTCTGTCTTGTTCTTTAACTGTGTCTGTGTTCCTTCTTTGATTGCTCCTTATCTCTGATTTGTTTAAGCATCCGATATATAATTAGTGAATGAAATCTTAATATTATTAGATACATAATGTGGTATTTATACAAGTAGGTTTAACCTAATAAGACACATCTAAAAATACATATTTATCCCTCTATACGCCCCTTCAAGATGGAGCACCGAAGCTGAGTCCAATCTTGACAAACAAGTCATGAAATGGAATCCGTGGCAATGGTTTCGTGAGAGCATCAGCGAGCTGGTCGGCAGCAGAGACGTGTGTAACTCGGAGATCGCCCGATTCAACAAGACCCCGAACAAAGAAATAGTCAAGAGCTATGTGCTTCATGCGTGAGTGGAATACCGGATTAGCCGATAGGTAGGTCGCACCGAGGTTGTCACAGTAAATGACAGGTGCGGTGTCAGAAGTAAAGCCGAGCTCCGAAAGGTGTGATGTGACCCAACGAACCTCAGCCGCTGTAGCAGCAACTGAGCGATACTCAGCCTCGGTGGAAGAGCGAGCAATACCAGACTGCTTCTTGGACGACCAAGCGACGGAATGACTGCTAAGAAATACAACGAAAGCTCCTGTGGACTTGAAATCAAGTCTATCACCAGCCCAGTCTGCATCGGAGAAAGCATGTAATGTTAGAGAATTCTTGACGGACAAGAAAATCCCATAATCGCGAGTCCCCACAAGATAACATAAAACCCGCTTGACGGCTTGCCAATGTTGATCCGTTGGAGCATGCATAAACTGAGACAACTTGTTGACTGCAAAACTCAGATCCGGACGAGTAAGAGACAAATACTGAAGATTACCAACAAGTGTGCGATACTTAGTCGGATTCGAAATTGGTTCTCCAGAGGCAGCCGTGAGCCGAGACGTTGATGCTAGAGGTGTGGAAATCGGGTTAGCATCAGACATGTCGGCACGGTGGAGTAGGTCAGTGATGTACTTTCGCTGAGTTAGAAGCAAACCACGATCAAAACACAACGCCTCAACACCAAAAAAGTAGGAGAGATCACCCAAGTCCTTGGCTGAACTTGAGACGAACAACTGCCAGTGACAATCAAATCATCCACATAGACCAGAACATAAAGACGAACAGCCAGTGTGATGAGAGTGAAAAGAGATGTATCGACAACAGAGTTCGTGAATCCACGAGCAAGCAGAAAAGATCGAAGCTCCGAGTACCATGCACGAGGAGCTTGCCGAAGACCATAAATAGCTTTCCTAATCTTACACACATGATGAGGGCGATCAGAAGCGAGAAACCCGGGTGGCTGTGACATGTAGACTTCCTCAATAAGATTACCCTGGAGGAAGGCATTATTGACGTCGAGTTGTCGTAAAGGCCAACCATGAGAGACCGCTAAACTGAGCACCACACGAATCGTAACCGGCTTAACAACAGGACTGAACGTCTCATGGAAATCAATACCCGGACGCTGATGAAAGCCCTTGGCAACAAGCCTGGCCTTAAACCGATCCACAGAGCCATCGGGCTTGCGTTAATTAATCCTGAACACCCATCGACATCCAACAATATTGGCAGCTGCACTTGCAGGGACAAGATCCCAAGTACCATTCCGCAGAAGAGCATCAAACTCGTCTTGCATGGCTAATCTCCATCGTTGATCTTTAAGTGTCTGAGTAATAGAAGCCGGCTCAATGTCAACCGAGGAGAGAGAAGACATGAGGGCATACCGTGGATTTGGTTTGCGGATGTTGGCCTTCGAACGTGTCTACATCGGGTGAACATTTTGAGCATCCAAGACAACATGAATCTGGTCACGTACATGCGAGGAGAGTCTCGAAGATGACTGAGCTGGAGACAACGGAACCAAGGGTGGCTCTGTAGCTGCCAAGACCGCAGACGACAACAGGGAAGGATCCGAGCAAGAGGGCTGAGCAGAGGCCGAAGAGTCGAGTGGCAGACAGACAGAGGAGACAGGTGAACCGACGCATTCAGGTTCGGATTCAAGTACAGGCGAAGAACGAGAAGAAGATAACTCGGAGAAGGGAAAGACATGTTCAACGAACTTAACATGTCGAGACACATAGAGCGGAGAGTCCACCGGATCAAGACAGAAATATGCACTTTGTGTGGGAGAATAACCAATAAAGACACATGCTCGAGAACACGACTCAAGTTTATGCGAGGAGTAAGGACGAAGCCAAGGATAACACAGACACCCAAAAACACGAAGTTTAGTATAGTTGGGTTCGGAGCCAAAGAGACATCGAAAGGGGGATTGCATACCAAGAATGTGGGTTGGTATACGGTTAATGAGATAGACCGCGATAGTAAATGCAAAGGACCAATAGGATATCAGGAGAGATGCGTGCGAGAGTAAGGAGAGGCCGGTTTCGACTATATGACGGTGACGTCGCTCAGAAACTCCATTATGTTCCGGAGTATGAGGTGGAGTGGTGAGATGTGAGATACCGTGAGTCGCCAAGTAGGGACGTAGAGCCACAAATTCACCACCATTATCTGAGTACAACATCACAATCTTAGTCCCAAACCGATTCTCTACAAGAGGCCGAAATTTGGTGAATGTGTCTAGAACTTGGGATTTTTGTTTTAGTAGGTACAACCAAGAATAACGAGTAAAATGATTGACAAAGAGCACATAATACTTGAAACCGTCAACCGAATGAACGGGTGATGACCATACATCCGAGAAGACAATTTCAAGCGGTTTGGTGGATTGAAGAGACGAAGACGAGAAAGAAAGTTTATGGCTTTTATTGATATTGCAAGAATGACAAACAAAAGACGAGCAATCGTGTGGCAAAGACACGTTCAAAGACGACAAAATAGAACGTAAAATAGGAAAAGCCGGATGACCTAGACGCGAATGCCACTCGGACAAAGTGGACTTGACACAAGACAACGCAAAAGGAAACGAACGGAAACGAGAAGGTGTCGGCCACTCATAAACTCCTTGTCTACTTGGTCCGGTAAGGATTGGTGCCCCCGTGCTGAGATCCTTCACCTGAAAATTAGACGGAAAAAATTTCACAGAGACATCATTAGCCGTGCACAACTGATTCACCGAGACCAAGTTTTTACACATGGTCGGTACACAAAGAACATTGTCAAACTTAAGCGGACGAGTAGCAAGAGAAAGTGAGAGGGAACCCGTGTGCGTAATGGGCAATCCTGAGCCATCACCAATAACCATTGTTGAACATACCATAGGGAGATTGCACAACTTGATGAGCTTGTGGCGGAGAAGGACGTGGAGTCCATGACGAAGATTCAGTCGAACCATGAGTCGACACTATTCGAAATCGAGGACAAAACTTTGCACTATGGCCTTGAGTGCCACAAGCTTGACACATCCCCATGTAGCCCCTGGGTTGAGATGAAGAAGACGATCCTCGAGGCCAGTTCGAGCGACCAAACTGACGAGGAGTATTGCGTGATCTCGCGGAGGTGTTATGAGCCGAGATCGGAGCCGAGGACAGAATCGGCAGGGAGGCCGTCAGGAGCAACTTTGCTTCGTGATTAATAAGCTTCTCATGAAGCTCGTCAATAGACACGGCAGTATCACAAGCATTGATTGCATCAATGACGGGTTTGAATTCGTCGGGAAGGCCATCCATGATAGCCTCAAGAATATCCTCGTGATCCATTGGCTTGCCAAGAAGAGCGAGCTCATCGGATTTTGACTTAATAAAACGAAGGTATTCGTCAATGGTTTGAGATCCTTTGACACTTTTCCTGATTTGATGACGAAGCTGCAAGAGATGACCTCGGGAAGCTTTCCCGTAGGCGTTGGAGATGGTGGTCCAAGCATCGAGTGTAGATGTGGCCAAAGCAACCAAGGGTTGTAATGGAATCAAAATCGTGCCCAACAAGGCACTAAATAAGAGTCTGTCTTGCTGCTTCCAAGGACCGAAAACAGGGTTTTCGGTGACCGCACCGTCGGCTGTTACGGTGGCGAGAGGAATCGGAGATGAGGCATCCACGAAGCAACCTAGCTTGTAACCTTCAAGGAGAACCTTCACTTGAATGATCCAAGTGAGGAAATTGGTGGATGTAAGTTTTGTAATGTTGGACATGTTGACGTATAGTAACATCCTGGACGAAGATTGAGCGTCAGATGAGGTGATCTCCTCAACGTTGTGCACAACGGAGGTCGAGGAAGACATGTCTCGACAGAAGCAGGGAGAGATGCAGAGTTGGCGATGATCAGCCAAGAGAGGAGAAGACTTACGGCAGTAGCAAGAGACCAATTAGGGTTATTGGCTCTGATACCATATAATTAGTGAATGAAATCTTAATATTATTAGATATATAATATGGTATTTATACAAGTAGGTTTAACCTAATAAGATATGTAAAAATACATATTTATCCCTCTATACAATATACATAATCCATAAAAGCGAAAGTGAGATTTCTCTGAGTTTATTTTTTGCTTGCTTTGACTGAAACGAACGAATCCAAGCAAGGGAGATGCGAATCTGGTGAGAAAAAAAAAGCACAAACTCTGAAACTTTGATCCCTTACAGGAGGACACGTGGCAGTACCACAATGTTTTTGGACCAAATGCAAGGCCTCATCAGAGCCACTAGTCACGCGAACATGTAATCCGAATCGGAACTCTGAGAAGAAGAACCAATCAAAATGCAAGGAAGTAGAGAAGCCAACCAATCTCTGCGTCTTTGGCTTCTGTTGAGCTCGAAGCGAGAACCAAAACGAGAGGAGAAAGAAAAAAAGAAAAAACTAATTCAGACAAGAACCTGCCATGTCTTTAGCTCCGAGCAGCTACCCATCTCTGTATTCTTCGCCTTCACTGCAAAGAACGCAGCAAAACCCTAGCTTTGTCACCCAACCCAATGTCGTATCCGTCAAAAGCTTGTTCCTTTCGACTTCTTCGGGCTCTTTTTGCAATACCCATGTCGTGAAACGCCGGAATTTGGCCGTGAAAGCGTCGGAGACAGAGTCGGCGCCAGAGGCGGCTAAAAGCGAAGGTGGAGGGGGCGACAAAGAGGAGAAAGGAGAAGAGAAGTATGAAGAGTACGAGGTGGAGATCGAGCAGCCTTATGGTCTGAAATTCAGAAAGGGAAGAGATGGTGGGACTTACATTGACGCCATCTTTCCCGGTGGATCGGCCGACAAGACCGGAAAGTTCACCGTCGGCGACAGGGTTATCGCCACAAGGTTTGTTATTGGATTGTCCTCTTATTCTCTGCTGAAACGTCGATATCTTACAGACGGAAGGGCGAAGAACAGAAACTAAGTTGGATTAGAGTAGAGTTCATTCTTGGATCAGTGTCTAGGTTCTGATATCTTGCGCCCCAAGTAACACCTTTACTTCTTAGCCGATCCATTGCCTTAAAAAGCAACAACACCCCACAGAGAGTGAACATTGTACTGAAATTTTCAACCAGTTTTTTCATTTGGCATGCTTAGAGATGAGGATTGGTCATTCATAATTATGACTATAAGACCTTGAAACTGAATGCAGTGCAGTGTTTGGGACAGAGATTTGGCCTGCGGCAGAGTACGGAAGGACAATGTACACAATCCGCCAGAGAATCGGCCCATTGCTCATGAAAATGGAGAAACGATACGGTTTGTTCAAATCTGTTACCCATCTCATTGTATTTTCTAATTCATCGGTTCCTCCATAAGATGATGTATCTTGCTGTGTTTGTCTTCTTCTTCTTGTTTCAGGTAAGACAGATGAATCTGGTGAGTTAACAGAGAAGGAGATTATTAGGATCGAGAGGAATGCTGGCTTCATCAGCAACCGAGTGAGGGAAATTCAAGTAAAGTTTCAGACTTTGTCTCTACGTTCGATGAAATTTCAAATCTTTCTCCGTTTACTTCCGTGATGACAATTCGATTCAGCCGAATTTTTGACCTTTAACTTACAGATGCAAAACTACTTGAGGGTGAAAGAGGAGAAACAACAAAGGGAGCAGGATCTCCGTGAAGGTCTGCTACTTTCCAGGTAAAAAGCTACAGTCTCATTGGGAAGGTCTTTGATCAGAAACTCGTAAATTGATAGGATGGTAAAGATCGAATCTTTTTAAGTGTCCAAGACAGAATGTGAATCACGTTCTTGCTTTCCCTGCTCAGTTCTTTGATTTCTGAGATCCAACCAGACAATCGCCGTCTTCTTTTCTGCTTGTAATGATGTAGGGCAAGTGTTGGTAAGATCTTGATCAGATATTCGTGAATTAACATGATTATAAAGACTGAAAAGATCAAATCTTTTAACTGTCCAAGACAGAATGTGAATCATGTTTTTGCTTTCTCTGCTTGGTTCTTTGATTTCTGAGACTCAACCAGACAATCACTGTCTTGTTTCTGCTCGTATTTGTATTAAAAATCATCAAAGGAGTGGTAAATACGAGGAGGCACTGGAGAAGTTTGAGTCTGTGTTAGGATCTAGACCAACTCCAGAAGAAGCTTCAGTGGCTAGCTACAATGTCGCTTGCTGCTATTCAAAGCTCAATCAGGTGTGTGTGTGTATATATATACACATATATATGTATGTATAGTTTCTTCATATAGATTCGGTCACCATCTTCCCAATATGCAGTAGCCCGAGTGGCATATCTGTATATATAGTTTCTTCAGATAGATTTGGTCACCATCTTCCCAATATGCAGTAGCCCGAGTTGTATATGCTGATACCCACGAGATCTCATCATCGAGTTTTCGGTATATCTTATAGGTGAAAGCTGGTCTCTCGGCTCTAGAAGAAGCATTGAAAGCAGGATATGAAGATTTCAAGGTTGCGTTCGATGAGTTTTGACAGAGTTAAAAGCTTACAGATTCTGACATTGATTAACGTTGTTTTGCAGAGAATCCGATCAGATCCAGACCTGGAAAACATCAGGAAATCAGAAGAGTTCGATAAGCTCTTAAAGAATTTCGACGAATCTTTCATCAACGAGAGCGCTATCAATGCCATCAAATCTTTGTTTGGCTTCCTGAAGTGATATACAACACCGAAAGCCTCTTGTTCTTTGAGATAAAGTCTTTGTTCATATACTTTAGCATCTATTCAAACTTTTGGTTTGGCTTCAAGATCGAAATCCTTTCATTTGCACAAGAATTTCGCATGCTATGTATGAATCTGTATCCACTCTCCCCAGAATGTTCTACTATTATTCTGTTTTTCAACGCATTACCAGGTTTCTCATTCATCTCAGTACGGATACCATGGAACCAGAGCAAAGGAACGCAGATTCAGTGACTGAAAATGGGTTTGACGGAAACAAGCACTTCTTGTAATAATTAGGCTAGAAATGTCTGAAAGAACCTGACTTGTCCAATTGGGTCGCAGGTGGGGACTGGCTCAGACTGCTTGCACCGAGCGGCATCTTACAACCTTGAATCCATCAGACAGAAATAGTTTCAGATTCAAGACTCCTTGTAATCAGTTGGCAACGGAGACAGTCTTTTTATGCAAAGACTCTACCTTTGCTGATGCATACAATACAGGCATAAGATCCTCGTACTTTCCAGTTGCAGCATCGTAACCGAATCTCGGGTTATGGTTGGAAAGTAACTAAACAGTGCAAAGTAGTGGAAGTTCTCAAGCTTCTGGCCGGAAGCAAGTCGAAAGTATGGGGAGAGTTTCAAAGGATAACTCAGCTCCCTTTTGACAACGTCTGCTCCAACCTACAAGGAAGTAAATTTGCAGACACAAACCGAAGTTTATGACAGCTTCGTATCCAACAAGTTGCCATTGGCAGCTAGATCATGGATCCGAGGGAAGACATGGCAGTGAAAGTTGCCGCCATTTTCAGCCCACTCTCTGACCGAAACACTTCTAAAATGGAATGCCCATATCGCCAGTGCAAGGCAAGGACTTATTATTTTCCCGAGAAAATTAGTTCGACATTTTCCCACCAACCAAACAACGCGGGTAAACGTCAGAAATACCCCGAAAACTTTCGGGGCGCATGAATTTCTCGCCTACCCCACCAAAAAAAAAAAAAAATTTGCGACCTTATTACGACTAATATATAACTAATATACAACTAAAATAAGAGTAGTTTTTTGGGGTATATCTGTTGTATATTAGTTATATATTAGTCGTAATAAGGTCGCAAATTTTTTTTTTTTAGTGGGGTAAGCGAGAAATTCATGCGACCCGAAAGGGGTATTTCTGAAGTTTACCCAAACAACGCCCCACTTATGAGCACACAGACATTGTACAACAAAAACGAGTTTGTAAGCGGAAGCAGTAGAAGTAGGTTTGTCTGCTCTGTTTCCCTTCAAGAAATAAAAATTATCATTGAGTATTAACTATTAATTATTATGGATTTAATATAAAGACCAAACAAAAAAAAATATTGACCGTTGGATTTGGTTGGCGTTCTGTTTCATCTTAACAACAATCGGTCGGGCCTTGTTCGGACAGCAGGCCTTTCGGCCTCTACGTCATTTTCTTCGGTCCATTTTGCTTTTGGATATTTTTAGTTATCAAGGGGAAAATCCATTTGTCCGTTTACTTTTTTATTTTTTGCTTATTTTTTTATTTTTCCTTTTCCGAGCAGTATTTTATTTTGCTACTTTTTCTATATTTATTATAACTATATATTATATGCGTGAAGGTGAATAAGAATAATAAGCATTTTTTTTTTAGATTTTTCGAACTGTATTGTTAGAGTTTAATAATATAGATATGGAGATAAAAAAAAAACATCAAAATAAAATAGACAAATTAGGAAATGAGGGCTCGTGGAGCTATTTGAATCAGTCGACGAGCTCGGACAAAACCCTTTTAACCCTTCCCCCGAAGAAAAACCCTCTCTTGGCGGCCGCGGCCAAAAGACCCAAATCTCTTCTCCTTCTCGTTTTATCTCTTAAACCCTAGATTCGATCTGGGTTTTTCTGATTTGGGTTAGGGTTTTTCTCCTCTCTATTTTTTTTGGATTCTCCTGTCCCTATCCATCTATTGGTCGCGTCTCCTCTCCTAGAAGGATCTATCAAATCTCCATACCCGAGTCCGTTCGAATGGCTACCGTCGCTCCTCCCGCTGATCGTATCCTTTTTTTGTTCCCATGTTTCTCGATTTGTCCTTGTTTTGTTTCGATTTTTTCCTGCCCCCACTTGATCTGGGTTCTCTGAAAGTTTGGATCTTGAATCGAGCTGGGTTCTCTCGTTTTGCTCTAAAATCCGATTTGTGCACGTCTCTTCGTTTCTTCTAGTTTTGAGTAGATTTATTATGTGTTCTCTCGATCTTTCTTTGCTATGTGTTGTTTCCTGTTTTTATTATCATCTTGCCGTGGCTAAGGGTTAGACGGTATCTGAGATGTTGTCTAGGCAGTGTTTGTCGTTTTCCTCTTGTTGTTGCTGTCTAATTCAGTCGATGAAATTGTCAGATTGGCAGGAGATGTTGGTTTCCAGGTTCTCGTCTGTCTCAATTTTAATGGTAGATTTGTGGTATTTGGCGTGAATGAAGGTGTAGTTTTGCTTCATAGCTATGGCGGAGAAAATGGTTTGTTTCCTTCACTTGTGTTTGCTTGTAGAAGCTACTGATTTGCTGCAGAAACTATCCCTGAATCCACAACCAAAGTCTTTGGATATCCCCGAGCCGATTAAGAAGGTAGAAAGCGGCTGGTTTTGTATCTGTGTCTGCAGTTTTTGTACTGTTGTCTACTTTAAACAAATTGAGTTATGGTGTTGTTTTCTGTGCAGACTGCTGTTTATCATTATGGAGTTGTGGATTCAAATGGTCAACCTCCTTCCTTTGATCGATCTTTGACGCCATTGCTCCCTAGCGATGCTCTGGACCCTTCCGTCTGCTTTATTCCGAATGGCTATCAGCCCTATTATTTTGGAGGTTAGATTTATATTTTTCTCCTCGAGTTGAGTTACTGCTTGGAAATATTGTTTATGAGTTGAATAACATATGGTCGAAATTTTCAGGATATGGGAATGGTCTTGAGTGGAACGAGAGCACAGGTTACACAAATCCCGATGGCGTCGATTTGAGTTCTGTATGTGCTTTATCTTTGATAACCACATGATTATTTGGATGACGACCTATAACGATTTCATTCTCTTCATTTTCTGCTTCGCTACCAGATTTGATCTTTTCTGTGCCTGCCCAATGTTTCTTACAGGGAATTTATGGAGAGAATGGATCTCTTGTGTATCCACAGGGATATGCGTATGCAGCATATACATATTCCCCAGCAACGAGTCCGGCTCCAGCTGTCGGTAGTGATGGGCAGTTGTATGCTGCTGAGCTGTACCAGTACCCTTACTTTCCTCTCCCCACCAGCAGTGGACCTTTCACTTCCTCCGTTACTGCTCCTTCACAGGGAGATATCTCTATGAACAGAGCTGCAGATGAGAAGACACTCCCTGCAGGTGGTACCAATGCTGCTGCTGCTGGTGCTTCAAAGAGTGGTACTGCAAAAGGAAATAATGGCTCAGCTCCGGTGAAACCACTGAACCAGGGTACTCTTAACCCTTCAGCTAATTTGTATGGAAACGATGCTCAGGGAGGAGGTTTTGCTGCTGGTTATCAGGATCCAAGTTTTAGCTATGATGGGTTTTACACTCCCGTGTCATGGCATGATGGCTCCAAGTTTTCAGATGTGCAGAGGCCTGTGTCTGGAAGTGGAGTTGCATCATCTTTTTCTAAGGCTAACAATGTACCTTCATCAAGGAATCAGAACTACCAGTCAAATTCTCATTACGCGGTATGATATGTTTCTGAATTCCATGTTCAATTTTGCCGCCATGTACACCTGTGGATAAATAATGTCTGCCTGTTGTGGGAATTACGGTTTCCATTGTTGTCTTATCTGATTGCTGTCATGCCTGCCTCAGTCATGATAGCTAATAACACAACCAATCCTCTCTGCAGGGTTTGCACCAGCCTGCGTCAATGGCAGGATTTGGTACAGCTCAGGGGTACTACAACGGGATGTATCAAAGCAAGCTATATAGTCAATATGGTAGCACTGTTAGATCTGGTATGGTTTATGGTTCGGACGGGTATGGTGCAAGAACAAATGGAAGATGGGTGACTGCAGACAACAAATACAGAGGCTGGGGAAAGGGTAACAATTACTTCTATGGACGTGAGAATATAGATGGGTTGAATGAGCTCAACAGGGGACCTAGAGCAAAGGGTCCAAAGAACCAGAAAGGCACATCAGAGACGGGCTCTGTTGTGAAGGGGCAGACCGGAACATCAAACTTGTCTGGTGCTGGAGAGACAAACAAAACTTGTGTTGTTCCTGAAAGAGAACTGTACAACAGAGAAGATTTCCGAGAGGATTACACAGATGCTAAATTCTATGTCATCAAGTCATACAGTGAAGATGACATTCACAAGAGCATCAAATATAACGTTTGGGCTAGCACTCCAAATGGCAACAAGAAGCTCGATGCAGCATATCAGGAATCTCAGCAGAAGGCTGGCGGCTGTCCAGTGTTTCTCTTTTTCTCGGTCTGAACCCGAATTCTGAACTCATTTTATCTTATGTATTATTGTTTTTAGGTTATTGACCAGTGCATTTCAATTCTGTATTCAGGTCAATGCAAGTGGACAGTTTGTTGGACTTGCTGAAATGATAGGACCAGTTGATTTCGACAAAAATGTGGAGTACTGGCAGCAGGACAAGTGGACGGGCTCATTTCCTCTGAAGTGGCATATTGTAAAGGATGTGCCCAACAGTTTGTTGAAGCATATTACCCTTGAGAACAATGAGAATAAACCTGTTACGAACAGTAGGGACACACAAGAGGTCTGTTACCATTTCTTGAAGCATCTTCTCTTAACTTTGTCATGGCTTTAGTTGTTGTCAATGATTAACTCTCTGTGTGGGTTCATACAGGTAAAATTGGAGCAGGGCTTGAAGATAATAAAGATTTTCAAAGAGCATAACAACAAGACATGCATTTTGGATGATTTTTCTTTCTACGAAGTTAGGCAAAAGACAATTCAAGAGAAGAAAGCCAAGCAACAGCAGCATCAGCAGACCCCCCAGAAGCAGGCAAGACAAGACGATACTAAGTTTTTTTTCCCATTAAACTCTGCAGTTGTTTTAACTTGTCCTTCATCTAATATCGAGTTTGCACCATATCATAGCAGGTCTGGGAAGGGAAAACTACCGATGACAAGAAGGAACCTGCAACTTCTGAGTCTACTTCAGCTGTCCAAGGTGATGGTGATCGCAAGGTCGCTGAAAATGGCTCAACTGCTAAAACTAGGGATCCCTTGAACATTGCTAAGCAAGTTGGGTCATTGCCAAATGGTTGCTAGCCTCTGCCTTACGGCTCTCGGCAGTCCTTTGGTCCTCGAGCATATATCCTGGCAGAGTTATCTTCCTTCAGAAGGCAATAATGGGAAAGAAGAAACAACAAGGAGCTGATCATAACTCTTTTACTCGAGAACCAGGCTGCCGGACGGTGTCTATTGTGCTGTGCTGCGTGAGAAACGGACAGAAATTTGAACAGAGGAGCTTGAGGAGAATCTTGAATTTGCTGTCTAGGAGGAAAGGGGAGGGTTATTGGAATCAAACCATGGAAGAGCTGAATATCCCTTCTGGTTTTAGGATCTGACCGCCCTTTAGAAGTTGTTTCCTTTATGTTTCGTCTATCTTTTACCCTTTTTTTTTCTTCTTATTTCATGCTAAATCCGTCAGTTTTTTACATTGTTTTCTGGTGTTTCTGCTGTTAACTGCCTTGTAATCTGCGTTGAAGATGGTGAAGGAGGGAGGGAAAGGCAGGGTGGGGATGTCTATTTGCTCGTAGTCTTTGTTATGTTTCTCTCTTTGTTTCAGACATATGATATGACTGACCCTCTTGAGTTCTTGTCTCTGGTTTCAATTTTCAGTTTTTAATTATATATCGTCTCCTCCTGTAGCATCCACGCCTCTCTGCACTCTTCCCCTTTTGTTGATCTTCTCTACTTATCCAGCGTCTCACACATGTTTCAACCATTTTTTGTCCGAATCTTTTTAAACACAAATGACACTGTTGCAAACTTAATCTTCAAAGATAATCTCTTTAGGATTAGGCATTTTACCCACATCTAATCTAATCCCGTTATTTAACTTTTCCTCGGAAAACTCGTCAGATCTGACGTGGCAGAATTATGGTTGGGGGACCTGCTGGATACCTCTTCTTCTTTGTTACAAAACTTTGGCCTTTCTAAAGCTCTTCCGCAATTGGG